AGCATTTTGATTAATATACTATGTAAAATAAAGATGGATTATAAGGCACTTCAACAACTCTCAATTTAAGCGTAAAAATAGAACTAGATGCCTGAATGGTCTTGATGTATGATGATAGCATTAAACTAGAAAAATTAAAAGTAAGTTTAATAATTTCAAATTTTATTTATCAAAAACTAATTGAAGTAAAATGGAGAAAATTATATAATACTATTGTGAAGGCTTAAAAATTTTATGGTATTGGAGTATTAGTTTAATCCAAAACCATCTTTCTGATACCATAAATGTAACATCTAACTCTTTTATATACTAATCTTCCAATTATACTAAACTATCCCCTAATCACTCCTTCTTATGGAGGAATATACAGTTGTATCAATGACCATATTTACCTTCATCGGGATGAAGCTGTGTGAAGTGTAATCAGGTTATGTATAGTTCTTTGGTTGACTACTACTTGATAGACAATTCAGCGAGTCCATAACAATTTTTAATAAAATAGTTAAGTGTGGTTTGGCTCTTGATATTTTTAGTTATAGAATTTTGATTAATATAATATGTAAAATAAAGATAGTTGATGTGACTATAAATATTTTTATAAAAATGAAGGGCAAAAATTTGACTCTTGGCATTGTCATATAATTTTCTGTCAAATAACAAATAGGATGTGAAATATATTTTTATACTCATATAATTATTATTTATTATTCCCTCTAATTTTATACTCGTGATTATTTGCCCCTAAATATAAAGAACACGTTACTATTATTTATTGTATATGGTATATTATTTTCATTATCCCATCATTAATTATATGGAATGATCAAGTTAGTAGATCGATATTAAAAATTTAATACGAATATTTCTTGAAAGAATTTTAAATTTGAATCATTCTCCCTTCTATTTTATATATAAGATACAGATAAAGGAAATAAAAAAAATAGATTAAAGATAATAAATATATAAAATTGTGTTTTCAAATAAAACTTGAGGGTGAGTGAAAGAATTAGTAAGAGAAAAAAAGGTGGGTTTGAGAGAGGATTTGATTAATTAATATAATAATATGATATGAAATTATTCGAAAGGGCAAAAAATGAGAAAAAAATAGTTAAAATATCATGCATTGTTTGATCACCCATTTACAAATTATGAATTAGTATATGATTTGTTTTGAATCTTAAAAACGTTAAAGAAAATTCTTGTGAAATATAAGAAACTCTTGTAATGATAAAAGGGAGAATTATTGAGATTTGGTGCTCATATTAAAAAAAAAAAAACTTATTGTGCTCATCTTTAAAATAAAATTTAGACTATCTACGATTCATATTTCTATTCTTATTATCAACATTTAAATATTACTTTAGACAAAATTAAAGTCGCACTGCATTTCTAATTCTAAACCTTCTATAATTTTGTAGGCGACACCATCATTGATTATATGAAAAAAAAAATCAATTTTTTCTATTACAACTGTACGTTTATAACGATTTAATTTATACTTAGATTGATAACATGATGGCAACTTTTAATGATAAGATTATTACAATTCAATTCCTTGCTTAAGTGAAATAGGTTTCCACAAACGAATGACAAATGGGTTCAATGGGTTCATTGGTTGGAGAATGAAGATATGGAAAATAAGGGTTTTTTTCCCGCAAATATCTTTTATCCCAAAAATATCCTCAACTTCAAACTTACTACCCCAAACTCCATTTGACCTACAAGTTTTCTAAAATCTAATGTACTCGTCTTCCTGTCTCGTCGAACGCCAAATTTTCAGTAGAAGGATCTGAACTTCTGAGTCCAACTGGAGATGTCATTTTGAAGAGCTCCTTCGCAGTGTGTCTTCTCCCAATTTCCTTTGTTTGCTACAGCATCTACGTCTCCCTTACTTCTTTCTCTCCAGTTCTGTTCACATTCCAATCCCACAAATCCTCAGAATATTGAAAAGGCTCCCTCTTCTTTTAATCGCTTGCTTTATGCTCGCCCCAACCCTCTATAACCCAAATTAATAGGATCTTAGGAGCTCTTGCGAAGTTGAATCATCATCGCACTGTTATTTCCCTTTTCGCTACACCAGTGAACATCTTTGGTTACCCTGAACATCTTGATTAATTGTTACTGCCATTTGGGTCAAATAACTTTTGCAATGATGATGACGTTAGAAAGGCCTTGGATTTTCATGATGATCTGATAGCAAGAGGGTTTCAGTTAGATGTAGTTAGCTACAACACACTCATTAATGAACTATGTAAGGCCGGAAAAACAAGAGGTGCGGTTAAATCTAAAGATGGGGAGAGGGCCCGTTAAGCCTAGTTTAGTTTCTTATAACACGATTATTGATGGCTTTTGCAGAGAAAGGCTCATAATTGAAGCCTGTGATGATTGATATCTATGGTTTTTGTGTGATGGATTCAAGCTTTGGTATGATTAAGAATAAGAATGTCAACATAAATCTGAACATCCATCCCATTTGTTTGTACTCGTATAATCATATTGTTTTTTCTGTATTACACGGAGTATGCGAAAGGTGTTTTACTGTTCATGGCTTATGAATAACGCGACTTGCTACATATTTTAAATTTTTCTGTAACCTCGCCAACTTTGGTAAATGTAACCGCAGGTTCTTACTTGGTGTTCTTCATCCTCAACCTAAGAGCCCCATCTAAACAGTTACAGTGATACCAGTAATAACATAGTGTTGCTGCTGGAGCCTGGAGTGATGATGAATGAAGCGTCATTCATTAATTTTGAGATATTTTTGTGGAGATGATGATGATGCTTTGGCTGATTGATGCGGCAAAGATAAATAAGTAAACTCAATAAGGCTTTGGTTCCTACCATTCATAGACTTTTGTCCCAGGAGTAGGGAACAAGAAAACTAACCAAAAAAGAGAAAGAAAAACGGAAAGGGCAAGAAAATTATTTTCTTTAGGTAGGTTCTTGTGTTAGAGTCGAATCATGGTTACGGTGAGAAATGTCTGTGATGAATTCATTGTATTGTTGACTACTGGGCAAGTAAATGGTTGTTTATGATTGAAACAGGTCCGTCATTTTATTATTATTGACATCTAATTTTATCTTTGTGTTATCTATTGAATGCCGCCGGATTCATCTGAACAAGATATTATACTGATTTTAATTAGTGGAGAGTAACTCCACTGGTCGATATCATGATACTGTTGGTTCCTATTCTACTTTTCTTCATTCAATTTATTCAGAGTTTGATTCTGCTAAATTTTCTTTCAAATCCCAATTGATGTGACGGGTATGTTTAGATTGTCGTTTGTTTTGAAAATGGTGAAATTAAAGTTGTAAATTGAGTTGGACAAAAAACATTGTTTGGTCAGCTAACTTTTCCAACTAATTTCTGGTCTTCAATCTCAGTTAGATTCAACTGAGGAAAATCTGACTTTTTAAATTACAGTTTCAAATGGTGATAATTAAAAATAAGCATTCCAGATTTATCCTTGCATTTTCCCTTCTGTCTCATCTCTTTTGTTAGCATAATGAGTTTTTATTTAGACTAAATGAATTTTAATTTATATTCATGTTTGTCCATTATATATATTTAATTAATTATCTACATTGCGTCTTCAAATTTATCTACATTGTGTTTTCAAATTTATCTACATTGTGTTTTCAAATTTTTCTTCGTAACAAATGCTTTTATTTTATAATTTCACAAATAAACTATTTATATTTTATCATAATAATTTTACGTATTTTTTTAAACTATTATCACATTAAAAACATAAAATTTCAAACACTACTATTCAATAAAATCCATGTCTTTTTTAGTCAATTTACAACTAAACTAATTTTTTTACTAATTATCTAAACAACTTTTAACTTTTTCAACTGACTTTTCAAAAGCACCTATTCAAATATATCCTAACTGATTTTTATCCTAATTTCAGTTACAAAAATCAATTGGGTTATAAGTTGGTTTTGTCTAACGTCAATCTAAACATACCCATCGTCTCCATGAATCCTTAAACTTGTTTCATTGTTTTTAATCATGATTTTTCTGTTTGCTGATTCCTTTCAGTGATAAACGAGAGGTTGATGACTTTGCAATTTTTTTCCCCAATTCATATTTTTTATTCAATTATTGCTTTGCTTGGTAACTTATTTTATATAATAAGGCGAATACTTTTTCCCAGTAATTTCTATGCTGAGTGGAATATGTAATGAGCGATAGGAACTGAATAAGCAACATAAATTCAAGTGATAGTAAACACTTTGGGGATTATGGTTGACTGACATTAAGTTCTTAGTGAATTATAACCTATGAATTTCTGGCCACTAGCCTGAGGATGATGAAATTCATTCCTGGTGGTTCACAAACATGATAATAGAAGGTGAATGTGAATGCTGCCAACAAACAAGGGCTACGGGAGGTGGGGACCCGGTTTGGGTCCCATCACAATGACCACCTAGTGCTTTGAATGGATTAGGATTAAAATTTATAATTAATCATTTTTTTGAATTTTTTTTTTCAAAAAGTGATAATTTACTCATTAAAATACTTATAATAAACTAAAAATAGAAAAGAAATTTTATCTAGACTCTTCAGATCTGATCAGGAGGTGTAAATACAATGAATTTGGAAGTAATACGAACTTTTTTTTCCCCCTATCTTCTCTTTGGTGATGATAATTCTGAAAATGCCAAGAACAAAATGGTATTGGTATTTTTTTTATTTATTTATATAAGAATGCTTGTGGTCTATCCGACTCATAGGCAATGGGGGGTTAGGGTGAAGTAGAATAGCGGGAACTGTGATTTATTGGTAACTTTATTCTGTTAGATATGAATAGTAGCAATTGTCCCCATAACAAAAGTATTGCAGAATAGTAGCTCAAATGTACCTTTTTTTCTCAACAGGCCAACAAGCTTTCTTTTCTTTTTTCTTGCATTAAACAAACACACTTTTAAGCTTCCACATTTAAATGCTGGAAACAGTCAACAGTAAACTCCGTCATCTCCTTCATGTATTATGAGCTTGCCTGATTGTAATGTTTTTGGTTTTTGGCTGGTCACAGGCAACCATTATTACTGGATTATTTCTTCTGCAAAACAGAGCAGTGGTAATTTTTTCGCTCCAGTTCAGTTCATTATTTATTACTCCATCCGTTCATTTTTATATGTTACAATGTTTTGAATATGTTTGGTCCTCAACTTACATTTTAGAGATGTCTAAAATTTTAATGCACTTTTTCCCTTTTTTTTTTTTCTGTTTTTGCCCCTAATTAATTTTATGTCTCTGCATTAATTAATTATAACGGTTTCCCACTCATTCTCTCCCTCACCCACCTGTTATATTTGGAAAAACAAATAGTACATTTGTTACTCATTTACTGCCTATCAATTTTAACTGACTTCTTAATCTATGTAATTCGGTTATTTGAAACCTGTAAAAAGAACTGGAGAGAGTATTAGTTTGTTCTTTTTTAGTTGTGAGATTATCAATATTTTTTGGGCTAATACGGCATGTTGTTTTGGAAAAATAGGAACAACACCAAAGGGGAGCAGCTAATGGAATTGCTATGACCGCTATGTCAATATTTAAAGCAGTTGGCCCTGCTGGAGGTGGTGCAATGTAAGTGTGCCTGTGATTTTTTTTTTTTTTTTTTAATTTTCTTTTGCATGACCTATCATTTTTAATGAAAAATATTGCCTACAAACTTAGCTTAAATGATCGGATTGAACTTCATTGACTCTCTGAGTTCAATTTCTGCCTTGTGATCCTTTGTTGCTACAATAATTTATCTAACTCCTAACTTTTTAAATTTTTTAAGGAAGAATTTCACGAGGTGATGTACATGTTTACAAGTTGTAAACATGCCTTGGTTTAATATGCTTGTTTACCAGAAATATTGTTAAACTGCAGTCCACTGATTATGAACTTGACCAATGCAGATTAACTTGGTCCCAGAAGAGGTTAAATGCTTCTTTCCTCCCAGGTATGAACCTGTTTATGTCAAGTTCTGTTTCATATGAAGGGTGGCAACTAAGATAGTGACTGATAAGGCTATGATGGATTCGAGTTTATTTTAAGAGATTTTGTGCCATCCAAGATAAATGCGAGAAGAGTTTTATCTCATAAAATGCAAAAGTAATCTTTTGAAGGGGCGCCAAACACCAAACGAAAATCAGAACATCCATCCCATGTGTTTCTAATACCTAGATGGATTTTCGTTTTAAGGCAGAGTTTGACGTGTAAATTGCACTGCTTATGACCTGTGAAAAATGTGACTTAGTATAGACTTTTTAATGTTTTACTTCAATGACCTCACTAACTATGGGAAATGTAAATGCAGGATCTCACTTGGTGTTCTTTGTCCTGAACCTAGTAGAAGCACTTGGAGTGTTGATGATGTTCAAACCATTTCTGGCCGAGAAAAAGACAGCCCCATTAGAACAGTTACAATGATATCAGTGATGACATAATGTTGCTGCTGAAACCTCAAGTGATGAATAATGAAAGCAACATCCATTAATTTTTGAGATGCTTTCGTGAAGGAGGCGACGATGACGACGATAATGATGCTTCGGCTGATAGCAGCCAGCAAGATCAGTGAGTAGACGAACATAACTTTGTCCAGCCTGCAGGCTTTCCTTCTTACCCTTCACAGACTTCTCTCTCAGAAGCCGGGAACAAGAAAACTAACTAAAAAGAGGGACAGAAAAGTGGAAAGAGCAAGAAAATTAGATTCTTCATGTGGATTCTTGTGTTAGAATGGAATCATTTAACTCAGAAATGTTTGTGATAAGTTCATTGTATTGTTGTCTATTTAATTGTAATTTTTTTTCCGTGGGCAAGGTAATGGTTATTTAATATTTATTATGGAAACAAGGTGGTCATTGTAGTATTTATCGTCTTAATATTATATTGAATGGAATTTGAGTCTCAGGCTAGCAATCTCCTCAAAGACCAAGTTATTTACCATAAATGAAGTAATTTAAGTCCCATTCCGTGCGTATGGTAATGTTTTGATAGATTAAATTATCTAGTTGAAAAAATGACAAAATTACTTACTAAATTTAAAACAAATAGATTATGCTGATTATTTTTGTAGTAGTTTGACATGTCAAAATTACTTATTTGTAGGTATATTTTTGGTTATTTTCCTTATTTAGCTACATGTCATTTAAATTTAAGATGAAATGAAGTACTATAAAATTTTGATAAATTAGAAGAATTAACTTTCAATAAAGTGAAAATTTGAAAGGCGAATAATTAGCTTTAAAAATATACCGAACTACCTATTATTCCTACGCAATATATATATATATATGAAAGTTAATAATTAAAATATTTTTTTAAAAAACATTGCACAATTATATAATATAATTATTTTATTTAATTTATTTAGACTTCAAAAATATAAATCTCATCTAATGTCTCTGTAGGAGCACAACCTGATCATATGAGTGGCCCCGAAGCTATAACTTTGGTTAAGTGTTTTTTTCCAGGTAAGAACTTTGGCTAAGTTGATACTCCTTCCGTTCTTAATATAGAATCTAATTATTGAGTTAGTTTTGGTTCTAAATATAAGACCCATTTCTCATATTTATCAATTTTCTCTAAATTACCCATATGGATACTCCTTCAAACACAATCAAATAGAAGAGGGAGATGTGGTATTAAAAAAGATGATTATGATGTTTTAGGAAAAATATGTCACTTTTTTTATAATTAACTAACTTACCTAACTTTCTTAATCAATCAAATTAGTTAAATGGGTTTTATATCAATGATACAATAACTTCTTACCATGGTTTGTTACTCTTCTTTATTTGCTTGTCGTCTTTTTCTTGTATAGAATGTGCGTTTCGTTTGATTTGGCAATAGTAGATGTTTGTTTGGGGGAAAAAAAATTCTGATAAGTGAGAAGTGACAATAAAAACCTTCTTATGAGTGAAAGACCGCGGATTCGATTCCGTTTATAATTTCAAGTTACTTTCTCAATCCTTATTTATATGTCCTCTTTTGATTTCTAATTTGTCTCCAAATGTAAATTTCAAAACCAATTTCTAAGAATAATAAATATTTATTTTAAAAAATCATTCTTAAAATATAAAAAATAGTTCAAGTTTAAAATATGGTGTCATTGAATAGAGAATGAAAATTTAAAAAAAATCTTTAAACGTAAATTTTTGATATTTTTGCTGAGTAAAGTACAAGTTTTCTCCTTTTAATTTATATGAAGTTTTAGTTTAGTCTCTAGAATTGAAAAAGTTTTTTTTTTGATAATTAAGAATTTAAAAATATGTTTTAAAAATTTAGTTTATCAGTATATTTTTTGGGTGAAGTATCTCTTAACACCCTGAATTTATTTTACAAGTGCATTTAACACCCTAATCTTTTAAAGGATGCAATTTTACCCCTCATTTTTTAAATTTGGAGCAATTTTTGACAGATGCCTAACACTACTTCATCCTATTTTTTTCATATCAAGAGTCCATTTAAGACTTTACCTTGCGGCACCGGAGGAAAGAGAATAAGGTCATGTGTTTTCCTTTTATTTTAGCTGTCCAGTCATCACTTGACCTTGGCCTTTGATGCATTTACGACTTCGCTCGCCCGCAGACGTGAAGATGATATACACTAATTCTGATATTAAATATAAGAATTAATTAATTAATTTAAATAGATTAAAAAAAATTAAATTAAATTAATTATTTGCAATAAATTGATTTTGTTTTTTAAAATATTTTTTATTAGTTAGAAATATCATTATTAGAAAAATTATTTAAAAGAATAGATAAATATAATAAATAAAATAAAATAAAATCTTATAGTTATAATTAAAATAAAATTCAAACGAGATTTTATATTAATAATAATAAGAAGTAATATATATTTCTATAATATACGTATTTTATTCAAATACGTATATTATAGAAATATGTATGTATATATCAAGCTTTCATTTATGTATGTATATATCTATTAACTATAAATTATTATCTACGCCTTCTATTAACTCTTGGTTTTTCCTATGACTTTCAAAACAGTAGAATAATGATGCACCTTAATTTTTAATTTCTGTAATTATTTTGAGCCTTCATATTTTTTAATAATTATTCCTTCTTTATTTTCCTATATTTCCAACTCAAAAATAAATTTTTATAGAAAAATTCTTTTTCTCGAAATATAAACTAAATATTTAAGTCTTTTTGGATTTCTTCAATTTATATCTTCAAAATTAGGAATATTACAAGAAATGTCGTCAAAGTTGAGGCCATCATTTGTTTGATGGTTGGATGACAAAGAGCGGTATCAAATTCAATAAATTTACCTATAGTTCTCTAGTGGCCGGTCACTACTTGATAAACAACATTAGTGAGTTGAGAAAATTAAACTTAACATAGTTTGGCTTTTGATATTTTTTCTATTATACCATTTTGATTAATATACTATGTAAAATAAAGATGATTGATAAGACACTTCAACAACTCTCAATTCAAGTTTAAAAGTAGGATTAGATGGTTGAATGGTCTTAATGTATGATGATAGTATTAAACTAGGAAAATGAAAAGTAAGTTTGAGAATTTCAGATTTCATTAACAAAAACTAATTGAAACAAAATGGAGAAAATTATATAATATTATTTTGAGGGCTTAAAAATTCTATGGTATCAGAGTATTAGTTCATTCCAAAACCTTCTTCCTGATACCACAAATGTAACATCTAATTCTTTTATATATTAATCTTCCAGTCATACTAAACTATCTCCAAATACTTCTTCTTATGAAGGAACATACAGTTATATCAACGATTACATTTACCTTGATAAGGTGACGAGTTATGTGAAGCGTAATCATATTACGTGTAGTTTTTTGGGTGGCTATTACTTGATAGACAATATCAGTGAGTGCATTCCAGTCTTTTTTAAGATGGTTTAGTGTGGTTTGTCTCTTGATATTTTTAGTCATAGAATTTTGATTGATATAATATGTAAAATAAAGATTGTTGAAGTGACTATAGATCTTTTTATGGAAATGAAGGGCAATGATTTGACTCCTAATATTGTTATATAATTTTCTGTCAAATAACAAGTAGGATGTGAAATATATTTTTATATTCATATAATTATTATCTATTATCCCCTCTAATCTTAGCATAATTAAACTTAGCATGGTTTGGCTTTTGATATTTTTTTTTATTATAGCATTTTGATTAATATACTATGTAAAACAAAGATGATTGATAAGGCACTTCAACAACTCTCAATTCAAGTTTAAAAGTAGGATTAGATGGTTGAATGGTCTTGATGTATGATGATAGTATTAAACTAGGAAAATTAAAAGTAAGTTTGAGAATTTCAGATTTTATTAACAAAAACTAATTGAAGCAAAATGGAGAAAATTATGTAATATTATTTTGAGGGCTTAAAAATTCTATGGTATCAGAGTATTAGTTCATTCCAAAACCTTCTTCCTGATACCACAAATGTAACATCTAATTCTTTTATATATTAATCTTCCAGTCATACTAAACTATCTCCAAATACTTCTTCTTATGAAGGAACATACAGTTATATCAACGATTACATTTACCTTGATAAGGTGACGAGTTATGTGAAGCGTAATCATATTACGTGTAGTTCTTTGGGTGGCTACTACTTGATAGACAATATCAGTGAGTGCATTCAAGTCTTTTTTAAGATGGTTAAGTGTGGTTTGTCTCTTGATATTTTTAGTCATAGAATTTTGATTGATATAATATGTAAAATAAAGATTGTTGAAGTGACTATAGATCTTTTTATGGAAATGAAAGGCAAGGATTTGACTCCTAATATTGTTATATAATTTTCTGTCAAATAACAAATAGGATGTGAAATATATTTTTATATTCATATAATTATTATCTATTATCCCCTCTAATCTTAGCATAATTAAACTTAGCATGGTTTGGCTTTTGATATTTTTTTTTATTATAACATTTTGATTAATATACTATGTAAAACAAAGATGATTGATAAGGCACTTCAACAACTCCCAATTCAAGTTTAAAAGTAGGATTAGATGGTTGAATGGTCTTGATGTATGATGATAGTATTAAACTAGGAAAATTAAAAGTAAGTTTGAGAATTTCAGATTTTATTAACAAAAACTAATTGAAGCAAAATGGAGAAAATTATGTAATATTATTTTGAGGGCTTAAAAATTCTATGGTATCAGAGTATTAGTTCAATCCAAAACCTTCTTTCTGATACCACAAATGTAACATCTAATTCTTTTATATATTAATCTTTCAGTCATACTAAACTATCTCCAAATACTTCTTCTTATGAAGGAACATACAGTTATATCAACGGATTACATTTACCTTGATAAGGTGACGAGTTATGTGAATCGTAATCATATTACGTGTAGTTCTTTGGGTGGCTACTACTTGATAAACAATATCAGTGAGTGCATTCAAGTCTTTGTTAAGATGGTTAAGTGTGGTTTGTCTCTTGATATTTTTAGTCATAGAATTTTGATTGATATAATATGTAAAATAAAGATTGTTGAAGTGACTATAGATCTTTTTATGGAAATGAAAGGCAAGGATTTGACTCCTAATATTGTTATATAATTTTCTGTCAAATAACAAATAGGATGTGAAATATATTTTTATATTCATATAATTATTATCTATTATCCCCTCTAATTTTATACTCGTGATTATTTGCTCCTAAATATAAATAACACATTTATTATTTCCATTATTCCATCATTAATTATATGAAATGATCAAGTTGGTAGATCAATGTCAAATATTTAATATGGACATTTCTTGAAAGAATTTTAAATCTGAATCATACTCCCTTTTATTTTATGTATAAGATACAAATAAAGGAAATAAAAAAATTGATTAAAGATAATAAATATATAAAAATGTGTTTTCAAATAAAACTT